GATACAAATAAAACTAAATTGTTAGCAATTTCAATATTTTCTCTATTTCCCATGATATTGATGGCCTAGAGGGTAAGGAGTTGTGCTGTCAACTCAAAGGAAGGTAATTTGAATCCACCATGTGCTCCATGGGACATAAATGGGCAATCTCTTTCTGTGTTATTTACAGCCTCTGAAAACACCCTGGAAGGTCAGCTATGAGGCAATTCCTACTCAAAACAATAAGAGAGACACATCATAATGATGCTATTGGTCCAGTGGTGAGGACTCTTGTTTCCTTGATGTTGAGATGGAATCTGTATTGAAGGCTTCGATCTTCTGCAGTAAACGCTGCAAGTCTTCTTCACTTTTAGTAAGCAAGGCCATGTTATCTGCATAATACAAGTTGCTGATTGTTGTTGTTATGTGCCATCAACTTGACTCTGACTCACAGTGTACAACAGCTCTGAACCCTGATCTTTCTTGAGCCAATTTCATTGTCTCCAACACACCTACACCCATTACCCCAGTCACTGAGTCAATCCATCTCATCCAGGGTCTTCCTTTCCAGTTCTGTCCCTTCACCCTTCCAAGCATGATGTCCCTCTCCAAGGATTGCTCCCTCCTTTACAAGATGTCCAAAGTATGTGAGATCGAGCTTCACAATCTTTGCCTCCTGTATAAGATCATTACTGTAGAAATAGAAAGAGAACTGGTAAAACATGTATGAGGATGAGGATCCAAGTGGGGAACGGTGAGGCTGTGTGGGAGGTAATCATATATATGGTCGCACAATTTGACGGGTAGAGGGAAGGAGTGAAAATCTGGTGTGAAAAACAATGTATACCAACTTTGTGAGTAAACTAGTATAAAATAAAAATTTTATTGAAAAAAAACAACCACCACCACCTTGCCTCTAAAGAACAACTGTGTTTTAGCCTCTCTAGGACAGACCCGTTTGCTCTCTTAGCAGTCCCTAATATATTCAGTACTCTTTCCAAGCACCAGAACTCAAAGTCATCAATTCTTCTATCACCCTTTAGTTGTTGTTCAGCTCTCTGATGTATAGCAAGTAATTGTGAACACTATGGTCTGGATCAGGCACACCGCAATCTCTAGACTGACCTCATTGGTTGTTGATTAAACAGTGATAAAATACAGTGAGACAATTAGCATAAAGATGCAGTGGGTCTGAATTCCACACACCCAGGAAAGTAAAAGCCACAAGACCCAGTTGAGAAGGAGACTTCTAAAATCAAACACCAGCATTAGTCTCCACCTCCCCCACTCCCCGCAACAATGTCACCAATGCCAGTTTTTATCCAGTGCTCCAGCAATCCGCCGAGCTCATTTCCTTTTCACTGCAAGCCCATCTCATTAGCTAAGTCCCTAACTCGTCTCCTTGCCTCCTTTCCCGACTCTTTCTAGTGCCTTCTGCACACCACCACTAAATTAAGCTGGTGACCACTCTCTCAAAAACCCCAAGGACTGCTTCCTGTTTCTTGTTGTTATGAGCTGTTAGATCAGCTACCACTCACAGCAATCCAATGAGCAACAGCCATGAACTCTGCCCTATTTTACATCATCCTCACCATCCCTGATATGCTCAAAGCCACTGTTAAAGTTCCTCTCCTTCTCTGGCCCTCTTCCTTTCCCAGAACGATGTCTTTCTGTAAGGACTGGCCCCTCTGACAACATGCCCCAAATATGTGAAGCCTCTAAAGTACCTTGCTTCTACCTTCTCCAAAACAGATTTGTGGTTATGTTTTTGTGTATGGGAGAGTCAGAACCAACCCATAGCTGACCCTCTGGCGAGTTTCCCTGAGGCAGTTAATCGCATGGAAGGAGTCTGTCCATTTTTCTCCTGCAGAGCAGCTGAATCAAGTGGCTTTGGGACTGTAGTGCAATCTCTTGCCACTAAGCCACCAGACTGAAATTCCTTAGCTCACAGGCAAAGGTCTTGTTCAATCTGTTCTCAGTCATCTTTCCAGCTTTCTCATTCCTTGTTTTGTCAGGAAAGGAGTCTCTCTTTGTTTTTATCAACCCAGATGATCTGTAATTCCCTAAACAGATCTTGGTTAAAACATTAAACATTAAAAAAAAATATAGACATAATTAAGAGAGAAACAGAAGCCAAGTAGTTTCCTCCAAACACACAGCTAACGAGTACTGGAATCTGCGTTCCAGTCTAGGGGATCAGGATTGTCCAAAACCTTTAAATACCCTCCTTTCCTCTTCCCACAAGATCCCTCTCCATATCTCTGGTGGAAATTTTATCCTTCCCTCATAGCCTGAAGCTTTCCAGTTCTTCCTGGATAAAGTGACTTTTTCCTCGTCTGAGGCCCAATAGCCTATGGCGTACAAATTTCTCAAGAGTGAGAAACTGTCGTGAATGTCATGGGATACCCCTTCTAAGACTCAACCTATTGTCAGATGGCCTCATAGGTCCTTAATAGCAAGCAGCAAACATGCCAGAAAAGGACATAATGGTTGGTAAAATTTGGGAAGGATTTTGAGCAAAAACAAAGGAAACTCTCCATGATATGGATGGATATATAGAGTAGCTATAACAAAGGGCTCAAACAAGGCAGCACTGTAAAATTGGCACATTACCAGTCAGTAAATACGATGGAGCAAAGAAGATGGCAGAGGCCCAGGCAGTGCTTTGTTCTATTGTTGGCCTTCACAAGTCAGATCCAGCTCAATGGCAACTAACAACCACAACAGCACCTAATACATCCCCTGCACACAGTGGTCCTCAGCAAAGATCCAGGGAAAAGAAATCCTTGTAGGAAGCATCACAGAGCCACTCACATAACCACAGGCACAGGGGAGTGCCTAACTAATTTCAAGTACAAAAAGACTTCTCTTTCTCTCCAAGTACTTTCTGTTGGCTTTCTTGTTCTATGTCAGGAAACCTCAGCCAACTACCTATAAAACATTTCATAGGCTGGGAAAGGCTCTGGTAACCGGTAACCACTGTACTTTGCAGGAAGACGTAAATAGTGGAAAATAGGAGTCATGAAAGGAACACATGGTTTCATTCTCTGGAACATCTAGTGGGAACTAGAAACTCAGATAAATGCAGGTCAAATTCCCCTTTGGGGCCTTGCCCTTCACCTCAGCTTTTTGTTGAAAGCACCAGGGGTGGGGCTGCAAGTGGGTGTAAGCCAAAAACAAGAAGAGGAAAGGGGAAGAGTTGGTCTGCAAGCTACTCTTTCAAGAGACAAGCTGCATTCTAGGAAAGAAAAATATTCCCTAGGCAAAGGACGCAAAGGAGAAAAAGGAAAGCAGGTCCAAATGGCAGCCTGTAATGTTATCTTCTGCATCTCTAAGTAGGAGTTATAACCTGTTCAGAGGGCATTCAGTGTGGCATCCTCAGTTTATTCAGAAAAGGATACAAATACCAGGTAAGATCACCCACTAATGCAGCTTACGATTGCATCCCCAGGGTTTAACAAAATGCATCGATGAGGAGCTTAAAGCAAATGGCAGCAGGGGACACATCATCCATGTCCCACCTTCGCGTGCACTCTCTTCCCTGTAGCTCCCAACAGAAGAATTTGTTGATCTGAACACAACTGTGCCAAAGAAGGAGATCAGGGTCAACTCCCTGCAGCTAAAGGGGGTAAAGGCAGGCGGGATGCCTGGGATTCCCCTCTGTGTCTCAGCATCCTTACACTTACTCCACTGCACCACTGGGGCTCCCTTCGGGTACACTTCAGTTATTTTAACATGTGAAATGCTATGTATGTGTCTGTGTGCATGCACATGTTCCTTACTTTTAAAATTTCTAGTGACGGTCCTCTAGGTCGTATAGCCCTGGTGTACAAGTTGCCGTACAGCGGTCACTTGTGATTGCTGTGAGGCTGAACACTGTGACACTGATGTGTCAACTGCGTTAATGGTTGGTTACCCAATGCGGACAGAGCAGGGTGGAGCTTCCCAACGAAAACAAGCTTGGAAGGAGGAGTGGCATCCACTTCCATAATACCTTGCCTCCGGAAACCCTATGAACCTGGAGAGAGGATGAGAGACACCCAAGCGCTGAGGACTCTCCTTCATAGGGTCGCTATGAGTCGCCTGTGACTCGACGGCACTTAACAACAATAACAACAACAGTGATGGTCAATTTATTAAGAATTTATTAAAGTGAAGGTCAGTTTATTAAAGAACACTTTTGTGGTGCAGTTCGTTGAACAGGGCCCTGAAGACAGCGCCTCTCTGACGGTTTGAAACCACCAGGGGCCCCTTGGAGAAGATGAACAATCTCCTCTAGGGCCTTTTACTTCTTGGAAAACCCGCTGGAGGGTCAGCGATGAGTCAGTTCCGGCTCGACAGCCTTCAGCTGAGTTGCTCCTGGTAACTTGCTGCTGTTGAGTCAGAACTGTCGCATAGCTGGGCATCCAGTGAGTTTTCAGAGGCCATAAATCGCATGGGATCTGCCCATTTCCCCCCCTTGGAGCCCCTGGTGGATTTGAACTTGGGTTAGCAACACAACTCCCAATGGACCACAACACCAGAGCTCCCAAAAGAAAAAAGAACCATCAAAAACCAGCATCCATTTTTGTTAATGAAACTTGTCGACTTCAGCTTTTTGTATCTTAAGAGTCTGTGAGCTACTATCCCTATTGTTGTAATAACCAGATGCTGTTGAGTCGATTTCAATTCATAAAGACCCCAGGGGTGCCACATTCATTCTTGAGGTGGCCCCGCACCCAGGATCAGGCAGTGTTTCGTCCCCTTGTGCTCCAGGAGGGCCATGCATCGGTTCACTGGTAGCTCACAGAAAGATGCACAACACAGGTCAAGCTCCCATTTATTGTGTTTTCCATATGCCTTGTGAACAAGAGACACAGTGACAGAGTTACTAGTCATTGTAACATAGTGTGAGATTATCGAAGATTTATCTCTGTCTTATGCTCCACCATACCATGGAAAATATAGAATAAAACCAGTTAAAACAGGCTAATCCAGCCTCCAGGAAGGCTGTTAGGTCATGGATACTGTGTACCGCTTACCTGGGGATACTAGTAAGGTAGGTCATGACATTGAGGAAGTCTTCATCTGGGATGTGTTTGAACCCCGAAAACTCTGGAAAAGTGAAAATGGGGGCACCATCTTTTCCTTGGCCTCCTGCAACAAAAATGAACGGTCAAGATGTTAGTAAATGTCTCCTGTCACATGCTGGCAGGTGAGGACTTTGGACTAACATCTGGCTAAAAGATGCCTCCTTGTTTCTATGTTATCTTGGAACAGGGAGTTCTGGTAGTGGGTAATGAGTTATGTTGCCAGCCTGAAGGCACACAGTTTGAATCCACCAGCTGTGCTGAGGGGAAAAGATGGGCAATCTCCTCCTGTGCAATTTACAGCCTCAGAAAATCCAATAGAGGGTCAGCTATGAGTTGATTCAGACTCAGAACCCAACAGCAGTAACATTTTCTCGGCGTAGACTCTGAGAGATGTTGACAATGAGAGACCTTGAGCAGGTCTCTGCATTTGTGTCTCTTCTTGAATTCTTCAAAGATCATATAAAAAGCAATACTAACTACAAAGTATGTTAGCATAACCAAGTAGTAAATAGTAAAGACTGCTAATATCAATACACAATATTACTCTTTTTACTTTCTGTTAAGAAATATCAAAGGCCATGTAGCAGCACAGTGACTAAGAGAGTGGTCTAAGGGAGCTGTGGTGGCTTAGTGGCAAGAAGCTGCATTGCAATCCTGAAGGTGCGCGGTTCGAATCCACCAGATGCTCCACTGGGGAAGGAGGGGCAATCTCCTCCTGTGCCAGTCGGGTCCAACTTGACACAACACAGAAAAGAAAGGGGAGAAAAGGGTGATCTCTAAATCAGACTGATTGTTTCAAATGCTGTTTTGCCAGTTAATTGCTGTGTGGTTTTGTACAAGACTCTTAAATCAGTCAGTGTTGATGAGATACAGACGGAGATACAGAAGACATGACAGAGGCAGAGGTTGATAAGGAGAGCAGGTAGGCTGTTCATAGACTTGCTGAGTTATACTCGACTCGATGGCACCTAGCAACAACTTATAACGACCTGAAAGGATACTGTGAGGAGTATGAAGGGAGAAAATATTTTAAAACACCATAGAAAGAGCCTACAATTCACTGCTGGAGAGTCAGAACCAATTCATAGCTGACCCATGGGTTTCTGAGGTTGTAAAATGTGTGGGAGGAGACTGCCCATCTTTCTCCTGCAAAGCTGGCGATGGATTCATACCACCAGAGAGGCATGGCCATTGGTCTTACAGTGCAACTCCCTATAGACATGCCACCAGAGCTCCTGTTATACAGCAAGTACTAAAAAAAAAAATGGTGAACATTATCAGTTATTAATGTTGTTGTTGTTGTATGCCATCAAGTCAGAAAGATCCATAGCTGATCTAGCGGGTTTTCAGAGGCAGCACATTGCACTGGAGGAGACTGCCCATGCTTCTCCTGCAGAGCAGCTGGTGGCCTAGAACCATGTACCTTTGGGATGCCTTTGGGATTGCAGCACACTCCTTACCACTAGGCCACCAGAGCTCCTTATTATTGTAAGGAAGCAATAATCAGCGGCTCTGAAGAATTTAATAGAGAGATAAGACATCTCTGTGAGGATATTAAAAAATTACTATTTAATCAGAACAGAGGTCATTCACATGAAAGATCACAATAGCCCCTAAAGCTTGATGTAGACTTGGGACCAAAAACCAGCCACAGGCCCTTATCCCACTCCCCACCCCCGTAGTTCTCAAATTACGTACCTGGTGTCCAAGATAACCCAGTGAATCCAAAGGGGCTCTATCGAGCATTTAAATTTTTTAAAAAGTTGTTTTACACACTTGTATGTGCTATTAACATGGGTAGTTCACAAGTTCAACAGTAAATTGCTCAACACTCCTTTTCTTATGGCATCTAACAAACACCTCTTCATAAAGCTAGATGGTGAAGTAAAGCATAATATATGAGGCTGCTAACTAAAAGGCCAGAAGTTTGACCCCACCAGCTACTCTTGAGAGGAAAGATGGGCAGTGTTCTCCTATTAATATTTACAGCATTGGAAACACAACGGAAAGTCGCCAAGTTGGAATCAACCCAACATTAGTGAACAAGTGATAAAACTAAGCTTTTCACACCTAAATAGTGACATTTTCTTGCATCTTGTTTGACATCAATACTGAAAGGAGAGTGGCCAAGTTAACTGAGGGCACTAGCCTGTTGTTGACCAGGGAGAACAGTTGCTGTTATTGTTATTATTGCTGTGTACCATCAAGTCAGAACAAGCCCATAGCAGAGCCTTGGGCAGGTTTTCAGAGGCAGTTAGGGAGGGGAGTGCCCACCTTTCTCAGATGGAGCAGCTGGTGGATTCAAACTTCACGCCTTTGTGACTACAGCGCAGCTTCTTGCCACTAGGCCACCAAGAAGCACCAACAAAAAAAAAGCACAGGGGCAACTCTTTGCCATGACAACTCACGACAGGGCGTGCAGTGCCACCTTGTGTAAATGTAAGGTAATGCAAGAAGAAGAAAAAATAACTGCAAAGGAGATGAAAACTAAGCTTGTTGACATAAAGCTGAGATAAAACAAACCTCACTCTTCCTGGTATGATTTTCACCTTTTCCGTGCTATGGAAGCAGACTTATTTAAAAGACAGAGTAAAAATGTATTACCTTAACAGCTAGGCCCAAAATGTCTCTGAGACACTTTGAGAAGTAGTTCTATCATTTCAAACTCCAGTGAGTGGTTGGGATACAAGGTGATTTTCCAAAAGGCCTGAGTGTTGGCTCGTGCAAAGCTTTCCAACATGGAGATGAGAACTGGGAACACTGGAAAAGCCTATAGGAAGGTGGTGAGGACCAACAATGGGAGGAGGGGTGCTACGATCCAGGGGATCAGAATGATAGTATGAGGGCCTCTGATAATATAGGTATAGTTACCATTACAGGAAGGGCTCAACAAACTCCAATCACCACTATTACCACTACACTCCAGGGCACATGCCAAATTTCTGAAGCATAATCACAATCCCAGTACAGAAACCAGAGACTTCCTCAATTTTATGATTTGTTGTTATGTGCTGTTGAGACAGAACTGACTTCAGCAGGTTTACAGAGGCAGCAAATCACCCAGAGGAGACTACCCATCTTACTCCTTCAGAGCAGCTGGCAGATTTGAATTGTGTCCCTTTGGGTTGGCAGTCCAACTCTCTACCTAATGGCGACCAGAGCACCCTTCTGCAGTTATTTTAGGTTAAGAATCAATATCTTTCAGTGGTAAATGTAATCTTGAATACTGGAAATGTTCTGTTTCTAGATCTGGGTGGTGATCACAAGGGTCTATTGTTGTTATTTGTCATTAAGTGAGAACCTAAACCTAGCTGACCCTCCAGGGAGTTTTCAGAGCTAGAAAACGACACAGGAAGAGAATGCCCGTCTTTCTCCTGAAGAGCAGCTAATGGATTCGAACTGCCTGTCTTTGTGTTGACAGTGCAATTCCAGACCAGTAGGCCACCAGAGCTCCTCCACAAGAGCACATACAGACGTAAAATTCAACAGGCTCTGTACACTCATGACTGTAGACTCTTCTCTATGTATGTTACTACTTTTACAAGGGTTCAGGAAGAGTCAATGGCCATGTTGTTTAGTTTAAGTCCACACTGACTCACAGCAACTTATGCACAACAGAACAAGCCTTGCCCCATCCACCATTCCCACAGTCATGCTGTGCTCACGACGACCTATGTACAGCAGAACACAGGCACCTTATCCTACACCCTGCCACAGTCATGCTATGCTTGTGTCCACTACTGCAGCCACTCTGTGGGTCAGTCCAGCTGTTGAGTATTGTCCTCAGTTTCACTAAATTGCTCATTAGATCATGACTGCTGTTCTGCAGCCCAGTGAATGTCAGAGAAAGTAAAACCAGGTTGTAAAAAAGAGTTGAAATCTGGCTTTCAATCAGCATGCAGCAAGCCTGTGAACCTCCGTGCTTATCTGCCTTGGGATCAGTTGCTCCCAGCCCCTTTCTCCTCCACTCCCCACTTTTAAAAAAATTGTCACACCTTTTCTCCTTGCTAGCCCACCCCACAATGCGCACCTTGTTCCAGATTGTTCTTACATTCATAAGGCATAATAATATTCTCCTTTCAAACAGTTCTTCCCTTCATCTGTTCTAATGCAATATTCATTATCCACTCTTTCCCCATTCCTTCCCCAACACTTTCCCATATCAATCCTATTTCATAACAGTGGTTTTATGCAGTATTCGTCCTTTGTGACTGGGATATTTCACTTAGCATTATGTCCTCAAGGCCCTCATGTTATGTGATGATCTACAAGTTCTTTTTTTCAGTGTTGCATAGCATTCCATTGTGTGACTATACCATAGTTTTTCTATCCATTCCTTTGTTGCTGGGCATTTAGATTGCTTCCATTTCTTTGCTATTGTGAATAACACAGCAATAAACATGGGTGTGCATAAATCTGTTTGAGCCAAGGCTCTGGGGTTTTTTAGGGTATATTCCCAGTAGTGGAACTGCTAGGTAAAATGCTACTTCTAACTTTATGAGAATGCGCCAGACCACCCTCCATGGTCTGTACCATTTCACATTCCATACAGCAGTGAGTAAGAGATCCGATCTCTCCACATTCTAGCCAGCATTTGTTTGCTACCCAGTAGAACTTTGCTATTGTTGCTGGGTCGGCTCCCCTTCTTCCTGGCCTCGCGCCTTTTCTTCATACCCACAAGGTAACGCTGTGCCAAGCTTTCTCAGGGGCCTTCTCAAAAATATCACTGCTACAACCACTCAAGATTGGTGGGAGATCTATCAACAATCTGCGATATGCAGATGATACAACCCTGCTTGCTGAAACTGAGGAGGACCTGAAACGCTTGCTTCAGAGGGTCAAGGACTGGAGCCTCCAATATGGATTGAGACTCAATGTCAAGAAGACAAAGATTCTCACCACCGGGCCAATTGGCAGTATCAGGATGGATGGTGAAGAGATTGAGATGGTTCACAGGTTCAGTTTGCTTGGCTCCACAGTCAACACTCTTGGCAACAGTAGCCAGGAAATTAGAAGATGTATGGCGATGGGAAAGTCTGCTGTTAGGGACCTCTCCAAAGTACT